AAATTTATTGTCAACAACTAACAAATCAGTTTCATTTCATCTTCAAATTTCAAGAAAAGAAATTTGAAAAGGAAAGAATTATTCTCATTCTATAATCTATGTACAATTAGAATAGCCAAAAGAGAATTTTATGTAACATAAATGAGTTAAATGAAAAAGAGAGGCTCCATAAACCAATCTTTTTTTAATGGTTTGCTTTATAGGAAAGAGAAATGACCAAAAGAAAAAGAATGCAAAAGCAATTCTAAAGTCTATATGTCGTGGTTGGTCCTGAAGGAGAGATGCCATGCCACAGAATCAGCATTTAGTCTTAGATATACATTAATCTGGTTCTTGTTCGGAATATGGAACTTTGCTTGTCCTACCTTACAAGCAAGAAAAAATGGAATCAGGAACCAAACTTTACGCATGGTGTCATTTCAATTCTTTAATTCTTTTCATCTTATTTAATAATCAGGGTAATGGGCATAAAAGGCTGTGTCCTGTGGAAATGTGATTTCCATGGAATTAGAATTCCACCTCTTTCGTCATGGATTGAGAAATTTGATCACTTCTTACATAACCTAAGGTAGGAATTTCTATGAAGAGCAAAACCCACCAATAAGAAGTTATAGTCTTTTTCTAGTGAAGATGTCGTTCGGGTAAGAATAAGAGATTCACAAATAATTATATTTTTACTTGTGAAACACTCAATTTTGGGTTTGAGGTAAGGAATCCGCCTCTAGGTGACCACACCAACCAAGCCACGACTTTCGTGGTTGAAAGTTATTTATTGTTCGTTTCGCTCAAATTCTAGAACAGTTTCTTTGTCAAAGAAGTTGAAAATTAAGCCAAACAAAATTTTTCTTAAAATTTCTTTTACGGGTTCCCTTTGGAAATTGAAATTGTTTTCGAAGGGATCTTCTACTAATGGATTTTTAAGTTTAAGAAACTCGGTTGGACTGCACTTTTCTGCACTTTAAAAATACAATTTGAGTACTAAAATTACTAAAATACTATTAATAAAATAACATAAGAAGGGATTTATTCAAGATACTTTAATAAAAATTCATAGTTCATACGCATATTTACAGTCTAACTTAAAAAACATCTTTTTGTAAGTCTAAATTTCCGGAATGAACCTAAGGGCCATGAGCAATTGCAACCCAGAAATATGCAAGAGAATCAGTATTTGTTCCAAGGGTGTCCATGACACCATATGGTAAAGTAAATTGCCTGATAACTTGAAATATAATCAGATAATCAAACTCTTTGTAACCTGTGTTCCAAATTTGAGTTTTTGAATCCAAAACTATTGATAGTAATGTTTACATGAGTCTGTTTCTGAGAAAAACACCGAGCAAATGAATCAAATCTACCCATTACCATGATGATCCTCAACTCTTGGGATACATTAGGAGCAACAACTTTCTGTCTGTGGATTAGATGAACCTTCTATCTTGACATGAAACTCGATGAATCCTTGTTAGTTTCCAGATTGAGGAACTTTTGTTCCAATACTTCTGGAGAGAAATCTGAAAGCTGCAGTAGCATACTTATAGTCCCAGTATGAACACATCTAACTTATATTAGGAGACAGAAGTGCTAGGTTTCCTTAGCTCAACCACCATCACACTAATGTTGTCTTTGCTGCCACGAGCAATTGCTAGCTCAACTAAGACTGTTGCTGCTTCTGCTGTGCGATTTTCATGCCCAGCCTCAAGTGATTTCCTTCTTAACTGACCATTAAGACATCTCCTCACTACTCGACATGCAAGTTCATTAGATATGACGTCCCACAAGCCATCACTAGCCAGTATAAGGAACTCATCATGATCAGTCAGCACGCTCACTGTAACTTCTGGCTTGGATATCACAAATGGTTTTAAACATTGATCACCTGTACCCCAGAATACCAAAACCAAGTTAGAAAACTCCTAGCATATATAATGAAGCAGGTTTAGAGGTAGCTATCATGCTTGGAGGAATGAATTTATCAGTTTAAAAGAACAAAGATAATTAAACCATCATTGGAAGGGAGAAGGTTAACTCCAAATTCTCGATTGATCAAGAAATTCATATAGCTATGGACAGATATATACATACCAATTGATCTTGAAGTGGCAAGAACTCCCAGCACGCGATGTCCATTCCAATTTATGACCCTTCCCCCTGCAGCTTCAACTCTTTCTAACTCATCAGGCCGATCAGGCTTTTCCAAAAAAAAAAAAAGTGTGTCAATTGATCATCTAAGTCTACCTAGCAAACAATAATAATGATGACAAATATTTTTCATTTTTTACTATCACAGAGAAGAAAACTTACAAAATTGAAAACATCTCAGATAGGAATCTGATGATGCATAATTGCATATGGTAAAAACTTGAAAGTAGGGTATAGATTACATCCATATGCAATCAATAATTGACCCTAATCCCTAGTTGTCATTTATCAAATATAAGAATAGAAAAAAATATTAACATCTTAAGACAAAGAGAATTGTGAGAAGATTGAACCTCCCTTAGAAAGCCTTGCGGGCACCACAATCTACTATGCCAAAAGTGCTTAATTTAGCCAACTTACCATCGTCAGACATCGGATACTCAACAAATCCTATAGGATGCTAAATGATTCTATTTATCTTACAAAGAAATAGAAGGTGTATCACCAATAAATTAAAGCCATCTCCATTTAGGCACTCTTTTGCATTTAAAATGGATAGAGAATGGCTTGATACCTTCTTTTGTTGAATTTTATATTGCATGATAGAATTGAATCATGTTGCTTTCTTTTGACTATGTTTATCATGCATGGACATCTCATTAAAAACTGGTCTACTTATTTCCACCATGACTAAGGGCCTGTTTGGTTTAACTTGTGAGAGCTTTTGCTTTTTTAGTACTATTATGAGTGATAAGTTTAAATTTTTATTAGAGGAAAAATTTTAAAGTTACTTTTAGAGATAGGAAAAAATGAGTGAAAAGTGAGTAAAAATGCAGTTTATGAAAAGTTTGAATTTGAAACTTTTGAGCTTTTACTGTTTGAGGTCTTGTTAAAAAAAAATTTTTAAATGTAAGTTTTTAAGAGGAAAATTTAAATTTATGAAACATGAATAATATCAAAAAGCTGAAACTCTTAAAAGCTCACCCAAACATGCCCTCAAATGATTGCAGGGCACCTAATTGATCCCTAATGTACCAAATGTAAGAAGGGAAAAAAAAAAAAAAGAAGAAAAAAAGAAAAAGAGGACCCACGGTTGAGAATCTTGTTTACTTGCTTAAAAGCTTAAGATTGTGATCCAGAACCAGATATAGCCAACTAGAAATCAGAAATATAGGGAAGACTTTTGCAGGATATACAGCATGTATACAATCTCTAATACACCCTTACATTAATATTTACAGTGATTGCCGTACCTCATACATACTGTCACTGAATTTCATGAGAAACGAAAGAACAGAGGATACCAGAGAAATCATTCACATAAAATACCACCTCTAAGATTTACAGGCAATTCAGTCCAACGATGGGGCAATGACCAAAATTAGAAATTTCCTTTTCTCTCACTCTCCTGATCCTATCCCCAACAAATCCAGAGTCATTGACTCTTCCATTTCAACCGTATCCTCTTATAATTACCATAATCATATCCTAGAAGGCTAGCACTAGAGGGATCATCCACTAACAGAGACCTGAATTGAGAATATCCCCTAATTTTATTAACACCTCTTTTTTCAATGCAATTAGATATGACATGAAGGGTACATATACTCTTATTACATAGGCCCATGTTCTGAATAATATAGTAACTCAATCACTCAGTTTAGTTTAGGTCAAGGACCAAACAGTTTTTTTTCCTGAAATTAATGTAACTTGCATCCAGCTAGGATTGCACAAATTCATATCAGACAACTGTCATACCCTAAAACAAGTTCCTACCATCAATTCATCCATCCACCCAATTTATAAGGTACAGCCAATCAAAGATGTGACTGAAGTATATGAATGCTCTAAAATTACAGAAAAAATCCACCGCAGATTACAATGGATTTTAACTGCAAAAGAAAAAAAATAAAATCTGTTATGGTACTGGATCACCTAGCTACCGATGCCATACACCATATTTGAATCAAAGGGTCTAAATTAAGACATACAATATTACCTTATGATCACATGACAAGGCGACGGCATTGCCGCCCCTTGAGAGCACAGCTCTTGAGTCCCCGCAATTTGCCACCACCAACTTCTCCTTCCCTACCACCGCCACCACGGCCGTGGACCCCACCATCTCCTCCCCAAATCTCCCTCTATTCACCTCCTCATCCATCTTCTTGAAGCCCTCCACCATTACTTTCTCCCAATCAATCCCATTTCCTCCTTCCTCCTCTACCATCCCCTCCGCGAGTACCATGTGCAACCTCTCTTTACACGCCTCTGCCACTCGGGACCCACCGTGCCCGTCGTAAACCCCATAAAAATCGTACCTTTCACCTCCTTTATCCATAAACCCCAGCTCCACTTTCACGGCGTCCTCCATCTCTCTCCGCCGGCCGATCACCGATAGTAACCCGTGGGACATGCACGTAAAACTCCGTGAATCGTCAGTTTTCTTACACGTTCTCTCCCCAAAACCCGAAACGACAACGTTTTCCTCGGACGTCTCCGTTGATGAAGACAATGCCAGCGATCTCTGAAGACTCAGATTCCCCTCCTTGTTCTTCAATTGCAAACTCTTCACCCGGCGATCATCGTCGCCGGAGATAATTCCGTTAACGTCACCATTCTCCGTTATGGTGATGTTCATCATTGTTTCGCAAGTACACTTCAACCTCCTGATTTCGAGTCTCCGCCGACGACCATTTCTCGTCCTGATCACCGCAACTCCGTTAATATCGTCACCGGAACCTGACGTCATTTGCCAAGGATCTTTTTGCATCTTCCTCTTCATTTGCATGAAAGGCGAAGGGAACATATAGACATCACTAAAGTTGAATGTAAATAGGTAGCGTGAAAAACGGCGAATCTAGACCGTTGATCTTCCAATATCCTGTCGGAGGCTGCCACATGGATATTTTTGTACCACTTACTTGGATTTTTCGGCAGAGACGTGGACGGTTGGGATTGAGTTTGGGACACGTGGAGAATGGATCGTGGGGTTAGTGATTCGGCCTGGTAGATGAGGGGGGCCCACTGGCGGTGTCTAGAAATAGCATTACGTGGCGTCTGGTGCTTTTTTTGAGGGGATTGATGTGTTTTTTCTCTGACAAGGAATGTTGACCCAAGTTCGGGGGATCGGGGTGACACGTGTCGACTCCACAGTAGTCGCGTGTGGGACTCGCGACCACGTTCGTTGTGACAATAGCAGATATTTTGCGTCCGTTGTCGTTGTGAGATCTCAAGCTTTTGAGCTGTGAAATCTTTGAAGTTCGTAGGGGATTTGATACGGTTCGGAAAAAATGGGTCATGTCACACCCAAAAAAAAAAAGTTTAAGCCATGAAATTTAATTTGTTTGATATTATTAAATTTAAAATTATTAATATTTTAAAATATTAATTTATAAATTAGTAAATAATAAATAATAATTCTCTATCCACTATCACTTAATAATTATTAATTATCTTAATAATTAAATTAAATACACATATATTAATTTTTTATGATTTTTGACAATTCTTTATTTGATCCAAACCACAACAGATAAAATAAAAATGAAAATAAAGGGAAAATTTTGAAATTGCCCCTGAACTTATTGTGTTTTCTCTATTCGGCTTTTAAACTTAAATTTTGAGTCAAAATGAGTGTTGTTATCATATCATCACAACACTTTTTTTGTGCTTAGGCTTGGAAAAAAAAAGTTAATACCACATTGGTCTTTTTAGAATGTCAATTGAAAAAGGAACAAAAATTTTCTTCTAAAATGTCAATTAATGTGGAAGAAATGAAAAACTATGATTTAACTAGTTAAAAGTTAAAATTAATAAAAAAATATTTAATTTCTCATGACTATCATTCTAAGTTAAAATCCTGTACTCATATGAAAAACAATATATAAGAAAAACAACCATCATATGGTAACTGGTAAGAGCCAAGGCCATATATCTAATAATTTTTTTCCACTCAATAGTTCTATCTCAACTTCCCAATATATAGGCTAAGAAAACTGATTGTGTGATACTTTAAGTAATGGTCATAGCATGGAGACTTGATCTACTTAAAAAAAAAAAAAGGAAGGTTGGATTGAATAAACAAAATGAATTAAAGGGCTAACTTGGATGTTATTTTAAAATTTAAAAGAATATCAGAAAGTTTGTTCGGGTTATTTGTTACTGACTAATTGGCCAGATAACTTGATTCGTTCACTGCAAGATTTGTAAACTTCTGGGGACACTGATTTCTAATTAGTTACTTAATCAATCAAATTCGAAGAATAAATCAGTTAACCAGTTACTTTCTTCTCTTTTTTTGAATTACAGGAACTTTGGGAGGTGGGAGATGTCAAACTTAGGGTTAGAAACCAAGATCTTTAATGCCTTGACACCTTTCCTTTTAGGGACGTAGCCACAAAGCCATTAGGTGTTGAACTGTCAAGCGGGGACTCTAATTAGGTTGAAGATTCATGTTTTAATTTAATAAATGTTCGGTTAAATAAAGTGCAGTAATTTATATTAACTTTTTTAATCATTGCACGATAGTGATATTATTGTTATATTTTTAATTATTAATATTATAATTTTTTATTTTAATTAATTAATATATCTTTTAATTTATTAAGAAATAAAAAATATAGATTTTTTTTAAAAAATATAATATTAACTATTTAAAATATTACATAGCTTTATTTGTGAGTACATATTTATTTATTATTTAATATTAAATAGCTTAAATTAAGTAGACTATTATTCACAATTTTAATTATTAATGCTATACTTTTTTAAGGTTAATAGACTATCATACCTATAATTTTAATACACCTTTAATTTTAGTGTATATAAAAATGTAAACTATATTTAAAATAAATTAAAGTGTATAATCATTCCTTAGTATAAAATAATGTAAACTTAGCAATTGAGGTCGTGTAACACCCCCCTTAAATTTAAAATTCAATGCTTGAGTATTATCGATGCCAGATCATCGAAAAAATTCCTTCTATATCAAGAAATAATTGGGTTCCTTTTAACAAAACATGACACATTGACAAATCAATCATTTTCTTGCATGCCCGTGACATTGGTTCCAATAATTCTTTGA